CTCAGTAGTCACAGATTTGGGATAGAAATAAGATCTATGCATCARAATGTTTCTGTGTATTCTAAATTATTTTGTTATAGGAGGAACTTCTATGTGSTCTCTGGCAGCACATCAAAGTGCTTGCTATAATTCAGTTTTAATGTTTGAAAATAGATATAAGGTGCATCAATTTCATATTAATATGCATCTTTGCTCTTTGTTTAATTCTGCCTTTTCTTTGCTGATGATCAAATGCTTTATATTCAAAGCACAATGAACTTGATTTTGCTTTCGCATATTCTGGTCTAGAGCAAGGCTATTCCACTGACTCCAAATGTACCTCTGGATTTATAGAAAAAGTAGAGCAGAATCTAGACAAAAGCCCATAGCATGGCTTAATGCTGAGTTTTATTTCCAAACTGTATTTCAAAGGATTTTTATGCCAAATAAACTAGGCTACAGAGAGGACTTCTTGGAGTCTGCTTGTCTACCATTGCTAGACTTACAACTGTACCCAACCTAGGACTAAACCAGTTAGTTAGGTATCTCCATGTTGCATGGATGGAGTTTGCAGGTGGGATAGATAAGCGCTTCACACTTGCTAATTTTCTATTACACCCAGAGGGACTTAAGACTAAAATGTGACCCCACGTGAAAAGGAGCTGTTAAGTAGGAGAATGCAATTTTGCTATGCTTTCGTGGTTGGTCTAAGCAAATCTCCTAATAGGCCTTGGCACCTAACACAGGTTTGAGCTGTAAGACGATTTTATGTTGGAAGGCTTTGGGTGATTATATGCTGTGCAGTCATATGATTGCTGATACCACTGTAAGCTTCCTTAAGTTTGGTAGAACCTGTGAGAGTTAGTGCTTAGTACTGGAATGCATTGGAGTTGATATTGTCCTGCTGATTATTTTTTTTTCCTATATTTTTGGAGGCATTTTTAACAGACCTGAGAAAATCAATCACATGGATAACTCATTAATTTTGCCTTTCCTATATTTGCTAAATCACTGGTTCTCGACTATGTTCATTGTTCAAGCTTCTGTGGAAATTTATTAGGGGAATAAATCTTCATCTGTAGATAATTTTTAATAGATGATTAGGAAGATTAACAAATTACACTGGATTTGTTTTGTTCTGTAATAGGAGAAGCAGAAATTCTAGCATATAATTTTCAAATTGTTTTTATGGTCAAATAGAGAGATGCTGTAACAAGTTTCTGTAGTCAATGGTAATACAAATGTAATTATRTATAATATATACATATTTAGGTATACAATTACCCCAATGGTAATAGAAATATGTGTACAGAACAATTATCTTACTTATCATACAATAGAAGAACCAAGGTATTAGTATGAACAAAAACTACACAGTGGAAACATATGCCTTCTGTGTGAACAATATCATACCAGTTGCAAAAATTTAAAATATATATTGAACAAGACAACAAGATTGCAAGAGGAGCAAGATGAGAGTTTCTTGGTTTATCCATTTAATTGCTTCTTTGAAAACGGTGTGCTGCCTCTGCAACACTTAGTAAGTCACTAAGGACATATGTTTTACARGTGATTAGCAATTACCTGTGCCTTATTTTTCAGATGCCCACTAGAAAACAGCTGAGAATAGCCCTTGCAGAAGTCCTGAAACCCCAGGAGTGCATTAAACTTAAATGAAARTTCCCTAAAAAATAAGTTTTTTTCAACTTTGTTGCACAGTTTAAATYGTATATGACTAGGTCTGGGATTTAAAAAAGTAGCTTTCAAAAGTGAAAGACCATAGATATTGCCTCCTCAGTATACATTTGCTAAATGGAGAAGCACTGAGGAAAACATTTGTTATTTGCGTAAATATATGTGTTAGAATATGTAGGCTCATAAAAACTGGCAAATTAAACCTGAGTGTATTATCTGTTTTTCTAACTCTAAGTCTAAAGTCTAATTGACTTAGAAACTTCATACTTGTATTAAAATATTCTAATGTTATTTCATATAAATGTTACTTGTTATCTTAAACAAGTACACACAGAAGTATCATCTAATGTGTGTTTTTATAACATATGCTGTAAACTGTGCAGATCTATGAATTTTGATGCCTCAGATTGATGTTGACTTTCTGAACGAAAAAAAGTAAAAGGTTTAGCAGAGATCTAGATCTGGAAGTATTGTATGTATTTTGATCCTGTTCCAAAATGCTGACAATATGAAAGTGTTGTATGAATCTTTGGAAGTTTATAGTTAAAGACTACAGTGCATAAAAATGAAGTAGCAGGAAATTAGGAAGTCAACACAGTGGGAATATTTTACAGTGAATACCAATARTTTTATTGAATCAATAATATTGAAGTAAATCAGGCAAACAGTAAATTTATTTTCAAGTACCTTTTATCTCAAAGTGCATACTGTGATTTTTATGAACTATCTGAAGTGCATTTGTACATCTTTTCCTATTATCRCCTAACATTTGAGTATATGTAATCACTGTTTTTAAATTTACAAATTGGTTGACAAAGAAATATTATCAGGTTACTAAAAGCAAAGAAAAAATGGGAAATTTCTGTTTCCACCACTACCCCAGATTCCTTTCAGGACAGCTTAAACAACTTAGTTGTTCAGTATTTTTTTTTTTCAAAAAGAGTACTTTCTTTGTAAAAATATTACAAGAGCAACATGTTCTATATTCATGACTGCTAGAAAGATAATCAGACATATTGCAGAAAAATAAATAAAATAGATGCAAACTGGAAGTCTGCATCTTTAACTTTATCCCTATATTATAGGGAAGTAATATTAAGATACTCCTTTTATATTAGGATCTATCAGCATTTAGCCTTTCTATATCCCATTTCTCTATACAGGACCAGTACTAGCAGATTCTTGCTAAGCAGAACTAGGGTTTAATATTGCCCTGTGATTGAAATTTGTGCTCTGTATTTTTGCAGTATCTCACAGCTACAACACCACTATGAACCTTTGATGAAATCCATCTCCTGAGGAAGTGCGAACCTCAGCATATCAAAGTAGCAAAGACATTAAAACAGAATATTTGCTCCATTTAATGTTCCTCATACTCTTCTGTGACAGGCTGCTTGCTGTCAAGAAGACACAGATTCCACTAAGAGGGGCTCTGCACTGCATATRTTCTCTTTTTTCTGCAAGAAACGTGCCTTACCACATACAGTTACTTGTAGGCATGATTTCTTGAAAGCCATTAAGTGGATTCTTTGTAAGAATAGGTTCCTTTATAGCTTTAGTATAGCTTGGGATAGAATCAGATATAGGATAAGATAGATGGCTGAGCATGGATTAGCTGAACATCACTGTATATTCAYTTAGTGAATATACAGTGCCTTCCAGACACCCAGTTGCTTTTTGGATTGGCTTATTCCCTAGCAAAACCTCACTCAGAAACAAGTAATCGTGCTCGGGCTCCATGACACAGAATTAGAAAAGCTGAAGGAGCTCTCAGATAAGAGAAGTAGTGATTTTATAGTCCTGTTATGGTTGGACAGAGGCCACACTGGACTTSCGAACACACGCACGGTTCAAACCCTACCACGTCAGTCTGTGTGACCTTTTAAAGTTACAGTGAAAATTTATTCCTTTCAAAATTTATGACATAAAAAAGATAATGTTTAGGGTTATAGTTTGACACTGTGGTACAAAACAGTCTTGTAGATCTTGTTGAATCAATTAATACCATGTATAAAGTGATCATTATGCATTTTCAGTGGGTCGGGGGGGAGGGAGTTACCTAACCTGCAATAATAATATGTATTAACAATTTATTAACAATGAAGTTGGTATAGSCAGCTTGCTACTTCATCAATAAAATTTTAAAAGCTCCTATTTCTGTTAAAGTAAATTAAACAATGTGTTTTATACTAGCTGTGTAGTAACTGTTCATCTCCAGAATTCTCCTCCCCCATGGTGCTTTGAGTAAATGAGACACAAAATAGTATTCTGTGAACAGAAGTAAATAATTGCAAACATGTAAAGATGCCAGGATTGCTACAACAGAACTTTATAGGTAACAGTTCAAAATGAAAATGAACTAAGTGGTAAAACCCTGCATAAACCTAATCCCTGAGCTTGATCCTTCTTGATAAGGCTTAATCCTTAGTCATGAGTTAAATATCTCATTATGGTTTTTGGGAAATTCTTTATGTGAAATGAATTTTCAGTTTTCTAGATAAGCACAGCAGGCTATGTTCTGATCAGTACGCACTTGAAATATTCAAGACTAGATGAGCTAGTAAATTATGAAATGTAAAGTATTAATTCTTTCATTTCCATCAGCTTGTATTTTCAGCTGTGAAGCTTTCAAGATCAGTGCTAAAGCACTTTTCTCATTTGGTTGTTTACTCTAACTGCTCCAGTCAACCTAATGAAGATGGCCCAGGGGAATTAAAAATAACTTATAATTAATTTTACTGTTTAAATCCGTTACCAGTATAAAAGCTTGTTGTAGTTTTCTCACTCTTTCTAAAGGCTTTCTTGGAGTGCAGTACTGAGATTCCCCAATAGATGCCCTAAGAGATCTCTCGTAAACATCCCTGCTAAGGACTGAAACAAAGTGCCTTTGGCTTTCTGGGTGCGTATTTATAGAATCTGCTTTATCTACTATCAAGTGGCATTATGTTTTCAGAGTTCAGTGATATATTGAATGAAATTATTTGATCTCAAATTAAGTAGAGAAAGACTGCATGATAAGAAATTAAATATTTATCCTCATTTCCCAATTATTTTTCAGTAGTAATTTGTAAGTTGGATATGAACTCTGAAGTGCGTTATCTCTTTACCAGTTAATCATTTGTTACTTCATAGTCACAAAATGAAAATGGGGGCAATGTCATCTTCATGTCATTATCATAGCAAAGTTGCTACATACCAATACGAATYTATAGCATTTATTTGATAAGAAGTAAGTTCAAAAATCTACAGATCTAACGACAATTTTCTTTTTAATGACTTTACATTTGTTATATTTCTTTTTTCTTTTTCTCTAGAGATAYGAAGTCCTGCTTGGACAGCAGCTTTGAGGAAACGTGGGGTAAACATTAATGTGCCTTTACAATTCTTTCACCGTTTGGGAGTTCTCGGGTGCCAGATGGTTGGCACAGCCTCTCTCCAAGCCACAAGCAAGCTAATTTTCTTCTGTATCATTTGCCAGTGTCTGCCATCCTGGTGCTCATGATGCCCTGCTGTTATAAAAGCRTTGGGCCAGGTCTCAGCACTCTTTATTGCAATTTTTGGTAAGCTCAGAGCTTATAGTGGATTCATGGTTATCTTTCAGATTCATTAAAACATTAAATAGATGATGACCAGAAGATGAGGTAAAGACAGACACTTATGTTTCCAAACTTCATGCTGTGAACAACTGAGAGAGAGAGATTTAGAGGCTAATTCACCCCTTCTCATGTTAGAGYAGGCTGAGAGTTCTCCTGCTGTCATTTACTTCAAGCTAATCAATGATCTTCACCGRGAGCAGCTGCACTGAAGGGGCAGCTGCCTTCTCCCAACAAGAAAAGGAATAATCTGGAGAGAAGCAGTGGAAATTAAACCTTAGAGTAGGACAGTAGTGTCGATTGCATTTTTTGAAAGAATGTTTATTGCCAAATGTAACATACTGCGTAAAATTACTTTTGCTATTAGGCTATGAGCAGAAGTTTGCTTAAAATATTGCATAGTCTTGATTCAAAGAATATTTACACTYTATGTGTTTGTGTGTGTGTGAATTCAGGTTTGTCTGGTCTTGTTTACTATTTTGTAAGTGTCAGATTATCTAGGACAACAAATTAATTAGTAGTATTAGATTTTAACATCCTGACTTCTTTCTAATCTATTCACATGAGCACTTCTCAATGTCTAAAGATATACTACAGAAAAAGAAAAAAATGGAAGTTAATTATCTCTTTGTAAAACCTCATTTTATGTTAAAAGGGAAGAAAGGGGTATCTTCAATATAAAATACTTTATTATGTTTGRAACTGCTATTCAGTGTTATTCCGAATCTCCCTAAATCATCTATTTTAAAAAAGATTCACCTCCATTCAAGAAATGTGGTGTGATTGCACTTAAAGATGTTGAAGTGGTGCCAAACCATACTGAAGTCATTTGGATGATCTAAAGAGTAAGCAWCAAGGTCTCTGAAATTTCTTTTCTCTCTCTGTTTTTACTGATTGCTAATACAAAATCACAAGAATAGGAAAAAAATAATTTTAAATAGCTTTAGAAGTGCTGGCACTAAGACAAGTGAAACAGCTACTTTCACACTCTAAAATGCTATTTTTGCTCTTTCATTTTACATTCATTTTCAGAACTTTTTCTGAGCTTTTTTCTGGGTAAGTAGTTCTGGAGAAGAGGTACTTGTAAGAAAAGCTGATCGAAAATAGACTAAGAAAGTGACTTCTGAAAACAGGGAGCAATATATAACTTGTAAATTATGAGAGCAAATGTTTTAGACAACTATTGAATAGTTCAGTCATGTGCTTTTTTTGTATTGACTTTCCCTTGACATATTGAGCCTTTGATCTTCTTTTAGTCTTGCATACAGTTTCCTGCTATATTGAATCCTATATTAAAAAGTGCTCTCATAAGTACAAAATGGAGAATCTTTAATAATGTCTTAATAAGTGTAACACAGCTTTTCAAGCTCTTCTGTTTCTCACCTTTACAAGCACACCTCATTCATTGCTTACTGTATAACTTCTCAGTTGCCTCCCCCCTAAAAAAAGGCAAATACTTCAAATGTAGTATTTCTGTAGAAAAAAAGCATAACTGTCATGCACACGGGGCTGTTAAAAACACCAAATTAAGGAAACTGTGGGGCATACTACACACTATCTGATAACACATTATCATACCTTGTCCAAATTAAGCAGTTATGGGTATATTGCTACAGTATGTATGGCTTTATACTATGTATAAAAATGTACGTATGTAAACATATRTATGTATGTATATCCATATATATCCATACTGCTACAGCAGTGTCTCTCAACTAACAACGAACTGTTAAACACACTGCAACCTTTGTGAAAGTAGTGTACACAAGTCCTCTTTGCAGAAAGTAAAGTAATACTCCACTGTAATGCTCTGTGGCCTAGCATGTGTTTGTGCTCCATTAGGGATTCCATCCATGGAGATAGTGGAATCTATGGGTCACAAAATAAATAAATAAATAAATAAATCACGTGGTTCAGAATTTTTCCAGTTTTCCTCTAGCCTTCCGCTGGAGTTCTTTATGTACCAGTTTACACAGGCAAACTAAGCAATAACAGATCAGACTTTGCATAACTGGGTGGACTTCCTAACTACTTCATTAGTAATTAAGTCATACAGAGCAATTGTGTGATTTATTTGTAGACTTGTTTCATGCACTTTCAAAGCAGCAAAGGGTCCTCACCTGCCATCACCAAATTTCAATTTCTCTTATTTTGGACAAGTCAGTTCTTCTCAGTTTACCTCTCTCCTGGGGAAGCACCTAGTGCATCTGCACTAATAAGTGAAGCYGACAGCGCTTATCCGTTCTGTGTCCCCAAAAGTAGGAAGGTTTTATTGTGCCTCTTTTCTAGGAGCCTGAGAAGCCATAAAGGACAAAAGAGGGGAGAATAGCTCCACAGTGATTCAGAAATCCTAGCTGGATGCCTGCCAGCCAGTTTTTTGTGATTGCTAGCAGCTATAAAGGGTTGTATCAACGCAAGCCTGATTTGGCTTTATAACATGCATTTTGTCTATGAAAGTGTGAAAGTTAATTATATTTCTTCTTGCAGTACCATGACCTAATTAGCAGTCCAGCAAGAACTCCCTCACAAAACCAAAATATGCTAATGCAGTCCAAATATCCCATTTTATTATTTCTATGTTAACTAGTTTGATTCTTTTAAGTCCTGTTTTTTAGCTAGTTCTGTTTGTCACTGTACATTTATTCTGCATATAGAAGTGCCGATAATTAACTTAGTGTGTCACTGTAGCTCAGAGCATCTGACCTTAGTCTGTCTTACCCTAGTCATGGATGATTTAAAGACAGTTTAATACTTTAATCTGCAAGATGTTTGCCCAAAAGGCTTGAAGCAGGTAACCCTTAATGCCATGGAAGTTAGGCACTCAGATTTCATAATGATTTCATGTTGAAAATTAAGTAGCTGTTCTTTAAAGGTGGTGGACTGGATGGCAAATTAATTAAAAAGTAATAAATCAAAGCATTCAATGTGCTATAAAACAGCTTCAACTGAGACTTCAAATTGTTTCTTTGCTTGACTTCACATAAAAGTATTTCTAATTTTGAGGCCATTTTCTTCCAGTTTGTTTTGTTTCTATTCATCCAAACATAGCTGCACCCTTTCTCATGCTCAGACAATTAATAGTCTCATCTTTATTTTTTTTTTTTTTCTGTAGGGTTAATAACTAGAGCTAACCCACAGTAGCATGTCCTTGTTTTCATGCTGTTACTGGCCTTCACAGCTCTGTGAACAGCAGCTCTGCCCCAAAACCAGGTATTAAACCTTGATATGGATGGTTCAGATTTCCAAGACAGGCTTTGCGAAGCCGTCAATCAGCCCTGGGCATTCAGATAGATGCTTGATATATTAAATGTTATAAATAGTGTATAACCCTCCCCACCTCACCCACAGGCTCCATTTGGGCCTTGCTGGCTCCTTCATGGCACTTGGGTTTCTTTAGCGCCACAGACCCATGRCGTTGGGGCAAAACCATGGGGCTTTGGTGGCTACTGCTTGGGGGGGTGGAGGGGAAGAAAGTCATAATAATAATAGGAGGAAAGGGAGCCGGGGAGAAGGAGGGGGGTGAGGGCTGTGCTCGGGGGAGTGGGCGGTTAGCGAGAAGGCCCCGTTAAAATAAGAAAACAAACGAGAGGGAGGGGAGGGAGGGAGGAGGGC